TTTTCAACTTCTTTGTTATAGCATAAAGTTAAATTTTAACTCCTTTGTTATAGTATAAAGTGAGACTATTGCGGAAACATTTTCGTCTTCTCTCGAGGTTAATAATTAAGTTTAGGTTATGTTATGTGCACTGCAGATGTAAACAAATTTGCGCTAGATTTAGCGGGAATGCAAGATGTTAGCGCCTGGCGAACGTTGGGTTTAAAAGTAAGGCCTCCCTCACTCAGAGGTTCGCCTGGCGAAGCTTCGCCAGGTGAACGCCAGCACTGGCGAAGGTTTTTAAAGTACGGGCCTTAGTGATATCAACTACTTAGAAAAATAATTTTAAAAATTTCAATAACTCAATAAACTATAATTTCAACAAATTCTTTACAAAATACTGTACTATTCAACCATGGCATCATTTCATTTGCTAAATTATCCTTACAGCCTACACAGTGTGTCAGCCATTCGAGAAAAGAGGTATAAGAAAAATAAGGAAAGCAGCTGCGCACTAACCATCGGGTCTTAAGTGCTCTGTACAAGACCCAAGGATGATGTTATTATCACGGTCAGTGCACACAAAGGAGCCTACGAGAGTCCGGCCATCTGTCATTTCAATTTTCATCGATGAGTGCAGCCATTTTTCAAGTCTCATTCGTCCCGGAGTGTTCTGAAAAGAAAATTTAGAATGTCATCATACGAGAAGAGATAACAAAATGATACAAATTGTATTTTTGGAATTAGAAAAAAAGTTAATGATATAAAACAACTTCAAGATATATGAAATAAGCATTACAAAAAATACCTGCTGTGATAGACAGTTACTTTTTCTTTTATCACTTCATTTAGACCCTGATTTCAAACCTTGTTATTCTTATAAATATATTTTTTTTTCTAACACTTATATCCCTATTTGATAAGACTTTATTAACATAAAGAATGCTGTATAGTTTACAGGTATTAGGACTTATAAATTTCCAAATGTAACTAAAATCAACGGAAACTATTCAGAATAATATAATGTCGTAATGGTTTATCAGATTCCTTATGGCAAACTGAAACAGGCAACCAACCTTCCGGCAAGACAAAACTTTTTGATCTCCTGGCTGATTTATCTTCAAACAAAGAATCCATTACCAGTTCTGTCTTGTGAATATACATGGAGGAGGTTTGTTGGACTTTGCCAGCGCAGAAGCCAAACTTCTGCCCTTTGGTAATACTCTGAGCAACAACCAAATCCGGCGATATTTCAATGCTCTCGAGTCTGGTAAGCAATACACTAAGTTGGTCTGCACCCAAGTCAGCCTGATTCCAAGGTACGACTGTCTCCAGGGAGGTCTGTAAGCTTCAACTCCTAAGGTTTCATATAGCACAGAAGCTAGCGGCAGATGCATGTCTGTTTTATAGACAAATGGTCCTCAACCTGAGTAAGGGAGGGAGCAATTACAGCATACTCATGTGCTGGTATGATACTGATGCTAGCTAAATGTACATGTTATAACTCGGGCTTGGCGGAAGTAATTTCTAAATACGTGTACTGTGTGTACTGCATGTTGAGTTTTTTAAAGTAAATTGGTAGATTGCACTGATAATGCTTCATACATTTTTTGACTGACTTTCATTTAAGACAAGAAAACAGTAGCTGGACAGTACCTACACACACACAACACACACACACACACACACAACACACACACACACCACACACACACACACACACACACACACACCACACACACACACACAAGCACACCCACAAGCACACACACACAGCACACACACAGCGCACACACACGCGCACACACACGCGCACACACACGCACACACACACACACACACACCACATACATATATACAAACAAACAAACACATACACCAACAAACACACATACATATATACAAACAAACAAACACATACACCAACAAACACATACTTATAC